TGCGAAAAAGTAACATTTTGAATTAAAGAGAGTGGAAAAATTCAAGTAGAAGAAAGATGTAGAGAGGTAAACACAATTAATAGTAATTAAAAGTGATAATGAGCATTTAAAATTCGAGTTTGCAACTCGTTGGCATAACAGCATGATCAACCAGGACAAGATGGATGACAACAAGGAAATGGTCTATGTCGACATAACAACAGAACATTTTTACTATGTTGACTTGACTAGATCAATTAGGTCGCCATGACAACACAGCATTTTTACTATGTCGACTTGACAAGCTAACCTATCTCGCCATGACAACATACAATTGTTATTATGTCGACTTGTCAAGTATAACCTATCTCGCTATGACAACATACAATTTTCATTATGTCGACTTGTCAAGAAAATGTATAGATGTGTATAAGAGACAGATATATATATGTACACATGTGAGTACATGAGAGTCAAGTAGGAAAATATATGACAGAGGTTGACGTGTTACAGAACATAACATATATATTATTTTGAAAACGTATTTCGTCCTGTTATACTTATTTGGAAAATACGTGCAGCTCATCATTATTTTGATGTCAACTCTCATTTCAAATCATATTGAATAGAATGTGAATAAATTTAAAACACAAACCTGCAAATGTACATCTCGAATATAGATGAAAGATATCACTGTTATCAACATTCACAGATGTAACGGTAAGAGAATCGATCAGTCGACAATAGCCTACGTCATCAAATTCAAAGTGAGTGCAATTGATGTTGCTCTGCTCTACACATGCGTAAGCACATTCTGTTGAGGTAACACCAGTGAGTTCAATGCGCTCTACACTCTGTGACGTAGCCTTCCAATTTTCTTTATGGAATCTCCAGCCTCCCGTAATATTCAAATCACCTGGCAACTATAAATATGTTTTATTTTACTTTTTGTTTTATGATTTGATTCTACAAACATTTTCTATATGACTCACCTGAATATAATAATTTAAAAAATTCAAAATTGCGCTTACTTAGTGTGTAATAACTGATATATAATTTATGTAAGGAGAAAATTACCGAAATTATCTTATTACAGATAAGTTTAGTATTAATGAAGGGAGAAAAAAAGTAGGTTCATATAAACTTAAAGGTATACTAATTAAATAAATTTAAACAGTGTAGATACAATAATTAATAAATATATAAAGTCAGTAAAAAGAAGAATTTAGAAATCTTTGTCAGAAAAATAGTTATGAATGTCCATGAGAGAGTTGGTAAGAGATTTTAGTACTATAGAGTTCCTCACATCAAGCAGGGAGTTTGGTCCGCACACGAGGAAATATATTTACAGAATTTCTATAAGCAATGGTCCTAGAAAATTGATGTACTTGTAAGGTTATATTGTCTGTGCGTCTGGAGTTTACATGGATATTATCTGAGATGGAGTGACAGTCAATTTTTCCAAATAAGCATTTGATTACGAAGATATGAGATTAAATTCTCGTCGGAAGCTGAGAGGAAGAAGATGGAGAGTGTCTTGATATGGAGTGTCTCCTCGCTTCTCCTTTAGTATACCTCTAGAAGCGAAAATCTGTATACGTTCAATTCGTTCCATGTCTTTCTTTGAATGTGGAAACCATGCAGGTAGTCCATACTCAATTATGAATTGATGAAGATACCATGGAATGGCTTCTTCGAGTGACCATACCATAATAGGACCCATCCGATATTAAAATATAATAAAATGTTGTGTTAATTATGGGATTGTTTATTTAAAAAGGATGTCAGGGGTACTGTCCCCCTTTCGGGGTGGTACTAGCCACTTGTTGGGGACGAGGTCACGCACCACTGCAACTCATACGATCGTAATTATTATACAACACGTATCACATACGGTAGCACTGCTCGCACTAGACAGTTTTAATCTCTAAACTTTTGACAGCTTGGTTAAGGCATGCTTGAATTGTACCTTGTTGGAAATTCCCCTCGACCCCGAACTAGCGCCCCCTACCCTCCGATGATAGTGATAGTATGCATTCGAAAGAAGAAAAATTATAAATATTTAATAAAATCCTTAAGTCCTTGAGGACTATCGATCTTAAAAGATCAAAATTACTCACCACTTCATCACAAAACGCGTCACAAGATACTTCATGGAGACTCAGAACTTCGAATGCGACTAACCAAAAGATTATTCCATACATTTTAGTGAGTCTTTCAAAAATGTAAAAGAAAATTCAATGATAACAATTTTTCAACAGAATACCTGCGCCTAATTTTATTCAAGGGTGGAGCTAGTGGGGAGGGGGATTAGGGTTAGGGGAGAGCTACCCCCATCGGAAAGAAAAACCATAATTCGTCGGGTGGAAAAATTATATGTATTTTCTACATATTAGTACTCTAAAATCCATTAAATAAGCCTTTGAAACGCTAATATGTCATTTTCGGGGGATTCTCCCCACCCAACAGTTTCGAAAGATTTCGAGCGACTCCAGACCACGCTCCTACCGCCCTACCCTCCCCAGTTCCTGAGTTCATTGCAATTATTAATGCAATATTATCATTATCAAAATCATTGTTAATGTTTCTATTGTTTATTGTAGTTATTGTTGTTATCACTTTTATTATTGTCATCGTCATCATTATCACAGCTCTTGTGAAAAAGTAACAATTAATAAGCGACATATACTTACCACATATGCACCTCGGTTGGAGCGGCTGTTATGGTTTTTACAACGCAATGCCCCGCGTTTGTTGCAGACTGGTCTTTTATAACCGTTATATTAAATATGACGAAGATGTTATTGGCTATAAAAAGTTAGTCATACGATACATTCTTTAATAATGCGGTCATTGACGTAACAAAATAGAACAGTTTGTTGTACAATGAAAGGATGATTTTCCAACATCTTAGCATGGAAGGAAATACTGTAATAACATGAACTATAATGGAACGGAATATAACCCGATCCACGTTTTAGTAATTAAGTTCCAATAAACGATACTTTTGTTTTCTAAATGAAGTTATCGATGATACTCTATTTTTCATTATTTTACTTTGTTTGGCTGGATAATACCATCGAGTCACGATAATACTAAGCAAATACGCTGCGAGCGTTCAATCAGATAGTATCGGATAATACGACAGTCCTCGCTCAAATACACAAAAACCAAGACGTGTTAAATAAGCAATATAGCTGTGCAGACAAGATATAATGAGAAGTTAATGACGAATTGCACATTTGAGAGAGATTTTTGACGAAACTCAAAATTACATAAACTTTGACTGTTAGGCGTATCTAAAACACACGCAGCAGAATTGACGGATTCTTAAGACTGGTGTTTAACATGCTATGTATAGACATAGCTAAAAGTGTACAAGCTAGCCATTGGTATTAGACCTATATAAATGCAACTACAGTGCCGGTACTAAGCTTTTAAGTACAATGTCAATCTTCTCTCAACGGAACATTAAAACAATAGACGATGCAGAGTAGCAACGTAGAAGTAGAAGGTTTACATAAATTAAATATAATCATGATCACAGCGTCATATTGTATTTTTGTTGACTTTCCAAAAAGAATTTAATTTTAAAATATCATTATCATCAAATATTACTTTTTACAATTAGCGCATTTCTATTGCGTTACCCATGCGTTTCACATCTTTTACATAGGCCTAGATTATAAATTAAATATAATGATGTTCACAGCGTTATATTGTATTTTTGTTGACTCTCAATTAAGAATTTCACTTAAAAATATCATTATAATAAAATATTGATTGTTATAATTAGTGTTTTTCATTGCGTTACCCCTGCGTTACATATCTTTGACATAGACCTAGATTATAAATAAATATGATGATGATCACAGCCTTATATTGTATTTTTGTTGACTTTCAGATAAGAATTGCATTTAAAATATCATCAAATATTATTTTTTAGTGTTTTTTATTGCATCACCCCTGCGTTTCACATCTATTACATAAGATTATAAATTAAATATAATCATGATCACTGCAGCAGACTTACTAAGAATTTCATTTAAACTATTATACTTTTATGATTAGTATTTTTTCATGGCGTCATCCCCCCGTTTCAACGTATCGCTGCTAAATACCATAAGAAACCAACTGAAAGTAAAGCTGCGCACTTATTGCACCCGACGGTCGTCGGTTGACGCGATTCGATGGAGAACGAAACGCCACGATTAGCGCGCAACGGATCCTTTAATGACGATTCGTTTCAGACAGCCAGCTACGAACAAGCAGTAGACAGCACCGGGTCATCTTACGCTCGCAGCAGGGAGCGGAGTTCGATTCATCATACGACGATCGTACAACCGTTCTACGACGTAGCGAGTGCCCGGTCTTACAGCAGTATAGCTTTGTAAACCTCTTTTAATAAGACGCAGATAAATACAGATTCAAGTCAAAATAATCAGATTTATTAAAATATCTTATATCCACTATATATTATATAACAGCCAATCTTAAAATCATATAACAATAAATTAGGTGAAAGACAGGTGGCAGGTGAGGTAAAAGCTTGGAATAATCAAATACTTTTATTGCTTTGTAACGCTTCAACAACAAAAAAAATTTAAAAAAAAATCGACGATGATAATCTGAAAACTATATTGAAAACGCATTTATTCGAATAAATACCCCGCTTGAATAAACGCCCCCTCGAAAAAAAACTCCCCCTCTAGAGCCTCATTTGAAAAAAAAAGCCTCCCTCGAATAAACGCCCCCCTAAATACTGTAAACAAATCTAACGGAAGCAAAATCATTCCCAACACATTATATTAATGTTCTACTCTAGTAGAATTACTTTTTTTTTCTAACCTGGTTGGGAGTATTAAGTCTTTATGATCATGCAATAACACATTATTTTGACGGGAATTATGTGTTACAGTTTCACATTTAAAGTGAAATTAAGGGGCGTTTATTTGAGTATATACATATCGAATAAATGCCTCTTAAAAACACTTTTCAACAATAAACGCCCTGGGCGTTTATTCGAATAAACACGGTATAATAATTACAATTATAATAATAAGAATAATATACAAATGAAAACAATGTAGCATATTATTAATAATAAATAAAAGGCAACAAATGAATGTATTAAAATAATACTATTAAAAAAATCAAGGATATTAAATTATTGCCTGGTCCCACAATTCTCTATAATCGCCACTCAAATTATTCTGGTTTCTTAATTAATAATACAAGTACAGTATGTGAACACAAAGTCATGATTGGATAATATGCTAATGCACAACCACTGCCAAAATTAATGAATTTGATACAAACCGGTCTCACGTTTACTCGTTCCACCGCCCCACACACACACCTTAAGTTGGCCCAACGTTAAATCAGACACCAGTACCAACTTTCTTTTATAATATTAATAAATACTGTATTGATATGCGAAGCATGTTTCTGGGACCAGGTAAATTTTAATCTGAGTTGGCAAGAAGCAGAGTTGATCTGGACTGAGTTGACTGGGGTAGTGTTTCTGGGGCTGAGTTAATTTTAGTCTGAGTTGGCAATAAGCTGAGTTAACGTTGGATCGACTTTGCTGGGGTTCAGTTGGTTGGGAACGAGTTGTCATGAGCCAAGTTGTCATGGGCAAAAGTTGAAGTGGGGCCGATTTGATGTGGGGCACATAGATAAATTGGAATTTATTGAGTGTGCTTGTAGTAAAAAAAACCATAATACTAAAAAATACATAGAATCAAAGTTTAAGTACATATTAGTGGTGAAAGTGAAACTTTAACAATTGAACAAATTTATTAAATATTTTTAATTATTGCACATGGGTAGGAATTGAAGTAACATCGCATATCAGAAATAATAGAAATACTGATGTCTCGGAACAAATATTGGATTTAAACATTATATAAAGTGATTTACTTAGAATTCCAATAAAACCCTTTCTTTGTATACAAAAGAAAATATAAGGAAAACATTTCTTTGAAATATAAACAATATAAATATAATCAAGGATAAAATGTAGAACAAATTATTCTCTGTGTTTTCTTATAACAGTGGTTCCAGAATTAGTGTCAAACAATACTTGCTTAATCAAATCAAAGAAGAGATCAAAGTAACACCATAATATTGCTACAATTATTTTGATGACAAAATTCAAATAAAAAAAAAAACAATATATCTCATGACAAATTAAAGCATAAAATAACAAGAAAACAAAAGGATGAAGAAGTACAAGTTATATGAGTAAATTCAAATAATAATAAATCATTTTTATGAAAACTGGAAGACATTGTCCAGGAAGACTACATAGTTGTCCAATTAATGAAGGCAAATACTGATCACATGTTAGCTTGGAGCTCAAATACATGCCACATGACAGTTTGAAATAGATTGTCCAATCAAATGCCATAAATTTCTTGTTAGATAATAGCTGGAAGTAGCTTGTCAAATCAAATACCTCACATGATAACTTGAAGAGAGGATTGTCCAATCAGAGGCATCATACACTTTCAATAATTTGCTGACGGTTTTTTAAATGTTGTATAAGTGACATCAATGTAACAACCAAAGCAGCTGTAATACCAAATACACTTGACAACTAAAAGAAAATAATGCGAAAGAAAAGCATTTTTTAAACAAGGGCTCATGAAGATTTGACTGACACAAGCTGTTGGGATTGAATGTTTCTGCTTATAGGCAAAACATCCTGGTTAATCTTCCTGGGCAACATTCACTTGGTTAAACTTATGCATATGTTAAGTAAAGCCAGGCATTTATTGTGTTGGACGGTCGTCAGTGACCTGATTATATGGAGAATGCAGGAATGGTTTTAATGACGATCGGTTCAGACTGCCACTAAAAATCAGTAGATGGTTCTACGATGGTCGTACACTGAGTGCCCAGCCTAAATTAACCAAGCAAAAAGTTAGCTATTTGTATAAATTTTTTGGAGGGTCAAACTAAATCAGATAAATGATTATTTTGAACAAAGAAAATCAATAAACAGTGAGAAAGATGCCATTTTGTAGAATACTGAGTTCAAATCAACAGAATTACATTTTATCTATTCAGTTGTCAGGAGAATTCTTCATTTAAATGCGAGCCAACAAAAAAAGAGAAAAAAAGGCTGGGAAAAAAATGATTAAAATAATATTGAATGAATGTTGGAAATTTTTATATTTATAACTTTTGCATGTGTATTACAATGTTGTGCTTTGTTTTGTGAATGTTGTTGTTTGTTCCAGCTTATCTTTGTTAGTTTGACACAATTCAATTCAATACTGCAATGTCAAATTTTGTTTTAATAATAAACCAGAATGAATGAATGAAAAAAAAAAAACAATATCTCACCTTCATTAGAGTGTTGTACTTGGAGTACATATCTATTAATTGAATCCTGAGTAGGGCGAGCCCACATGGCAAGTATGACTCATCTCGTCCACTATCTCTGCACCTGCACAGGCATCAAAGACAAAAATGAAAAGGATTAGTTGTATCCTGAGTAAGTTAAGACCACATAGCATGCAGAACTTGTCTCATCCACTAAAGGATTTGTGACAGAGCACAAACTGAGCCTTCTACAGTTGGGAAATCTGAAGATTGATTCAATTTGAGTTGGAACATCTTAGTTTATGTTGAAATATCAGGTTACTATTGTAACTTTTTCCCTGGTCATGTTTTGTGGGATCATTTTTATAGCCTGTCACAAATAAAGCGATAGTAGTAGTTTATATAGTCTCATTGTTATTATGATTATTATTTTTATTTTATTTTATTGTTATTTGCATTTTCTCAGTTGGCCTATATTATTTCATTGTAAAGCACATAGGGGCAATGTGCAATATGCGCTATATAAATATAACATTATTATTAACATTATTTATTAACTACCTTTGATAGAGTTCCATCAGTATCCCAGTTTGATTGCTAGGTGGAATGTTGATTTGTAGCTTAGTCCAAGTAGTGTCGTCAATCTTCACTCCTTCTTCAACAAGGTAAGCTAAATTGAACAAAGCCTAAGTGGGAAAATGCAAAATGTTATATAATACATCAATTCCTTACTAAGAACTTTTCATGTTATGTTACTTTGTTAAATCTGTAATATTCAGTGCCATGGAGGCAATGGACCTTTCCACTAAGCCCCGCCCCTTGGATATTGTTGCTAGGTTCTGATTGGTCAGTTGTTAAGTTTGATTGACACTCCAGAATGGTCTATTTAATCATTAAGAGCTACATTTAGAATAGTCTAGCATGTCCAGCCTACCTGTGGCTCATTTGCAGCAGCAGCTCTGGAATACATCTCTACAGCGGCTGGAATGTCTTGTTTACCTAAGCAACCATACCAATGATAATCACCCATCTTGATTTGAGCTTGAAAAATAAATTATAATAAACATAAATATATTGCAGACTTTTCCAAATACAATTCAATTCTCAATTCTTCTGGAATATTGTAATTTATGGGGTGAAATCCAAAAGCTTCTGTCTAAAACAAGTTTATCTAATGCATATTCATGAACTAGCACTGAAAAATAGCACCACCAATCTTGAAATAGAATTTCTCTATACATATACTGTATGACACTGATCTCTATTATAAGGGCTAGATTGCTCATTGGCCAATCATTGTACAGAAAAAAGTAAAGCCACCAACATCATGCAAGAGCCAAATTGACGTACCAGTTTAGACAAGTTTTTTTTTACATGTGTTTAAATTATTGCTAAAAATAACGATGCTTGCAATAGTTTTTAGTAATAAATTTCAGTTTAACTAAATGATTTTTATCACATCCTCAATGCGCCGCCTGCGACGCCTAATTTGGCAGCTAGCGAACATCACATTGTTGATGGTTCTAGAGTTTTGTGATGACTTATATGAAGTTCTGGGCTCCCATAAATGGTGCCAAATGGCAGTGGCTTCACTAAAACCAGCAAATGAGCAAATTAGACATTATAGTAGAGATCAGTGATATATGATGAATTATATGTGTGTATATAAAGGTCAAATGACTCACATTCTGTATAAGCCCATTCACCAATACTTGACAGGTTGTAATACTTCCAAGTACATTCATTCTTAATAAAGCTACTGGCTAAGCCATCCTGTAGAGATACCACATTCACTAAATCAGTACATCTTCTATGATCATAATATTACATATCTTACTACCCACCAGTCTTATATTACAAATCAGGACACAAATCACCCAAACTACAAATTTTATAAAGTTTTAATATATCTTGAACACAAATTTCTCATCCAGTAATTATTTTGTTAATTGCATTGTCTTAGCATAGTGTGATCTCATATCATTTGCAGCAAAATAACATTAAAATAAAATTTTTATTTATTAAAATTGTATTTATTCAGGTATAAAATACATCAACAAGCATCCCATGTGCAGAATGCATTTGTTGACAATAATAATAATGTGCTAACATGTAGCAACTATGTAGGAATTAAAATAAAAAATATACTTAGAACTTTTTTGTCTTACAAAGTTCTCATCGCACAGATAGGCCATATTGAATTGAGCAACTTTTACTCCTGTTTCAGCAGCCATAATGTAATAGATGAATGCTGCCGACCTGCAGGGAAAAGAAATATGATGATGGAGTGATGAACATATGATGGAGTGCAATATTATACTGTAATTCCTTTTTTCAGAATTTAATTGTAAATGACAGTCTTTTTCAATTAAAATTTCATATATACTGTATTAATAGAGTGTCGTAATAGCAAAATACAAGGGTGCCTACCACTTGGCCTCATATCTCATTTGGTAGCATATCAAACCGGTAATCAGAAGGTCTTGGGTTCAAATCCTGATGGAGATTTTCTCAAAATATAATATTTATCCTCATTATTTACCACCAATGGAGTTGTAACTCCATATTGAATTTACTAATACTAAAGATATTTTTTAAGTATTTGCAAAATTTCATATATTTAAGAGGGCCTCTGAATATTAGACAACTTTCTGTAGGCTACACTGGAATGTCGCCCTCTATAAATATGGTGTAAAAAAATAGGATGTCCTACCAATCTCCTTCAAAGTAACCATCAAGCCCTTTCCTTAAAACAATTCCAAGTTCAGGGTTGAGGAATGCAACATACTGTGCCCACCTGTAAAATGAGTCGCAATTATAAAAACAATAAAGCCTTGATCACACTATCAAATTATATTTGACAAAAACATGTGACATGCCCAAATATGGTCATGTTTCTGATTACATCAGTCGCATGCTAACCAGGACTCAGTCTGGAGGCTGACCAACTACAAGATCAATTTCAAATTGTATTTACTTTGTTCCTCATCCTAGTCTTTCAATTTTTAAGCAATGTTTTAGTTATAGAGCACCTCTGTATTTTAATCTTGTTCCTAAAGATATTCGCTTATCTGAAAATTTATACTCTTTTAAACTTAAACTTAAGCAATTTATTAATAGATAAATTTGTTTATTTTTGACTGACTTTAACTAGTTTTAATGTAGTGTTTTTATAGTGGGCCTTTTAACTTTTTTCTGTTTTTTGAATGTTCAATATTTTAAATGTTTTAATGTATGTATGTTTTATCGAGGGCCCTTAATGCTCAGTTCATGCCAGAACTAGATACGTCACCCTATTTAAAAAAGGTAATAAATAAATAAATGACAGCATCACATCATGACTATATATGGGCATATAACACTTTCTTGAATTGTGTAGTTGTTATTGGTAAGACAGAGTTAAAATAAAGTTTGATCTCGATAGAAAAATGAATAGAAATACATTAACACTATTAATAATGGTATTTGATATAGTATATTATATATTATTGTGAATAGTTTAATATAGTAATTCAAATATCTATGGACCAATTAAATAATTAGTCAATGGACTAACTAATCAACAAATCAGTTAATTAATCAATAAGTCAATCAATCAATCAATCAATTAATCAAACTAATAATTCATCCTCTTTCACACAATGACTTAAATTTGTTCCACCTGTTATTTAGACTTACATCATAGCTAGGTAGTTGCTCCTCTGCATGGTTTCATGTCCCTCGTTGTAAATGTGAGCTAAGATGATGGAAGAGTCTATATGCCCTGCTCGAGCAGCTTTTAAATGGTAGTCTAAGGCTTTGGCCTGCAGAAAATTTTAAGACAATTCATTTAAATTTATTAATCAATCATTCAATCAATCAATTGACTTTGTTAGTACAGTAAAAGGCTGTGTCAAACAATTATTCAATTAAGCAATTAATAAACCAACCAAACAATTTATAAATCAAATAATCAATCAACCAACTATTTAATAATTTAATCAACTAACTTTATAATAATAATAATAATAATAATAATAATAATAATATTAATAATAATAATAATAATACCATTTTTGTATAGCATAAGCATTAAAAAATTATCTCAATGTGTACTTATAAATTGATGAAAATATGAGTGGTAAAAAGTGTCAAATTCTAAAAGAAATGTAAATGAAATTCATGTGCTTTTGTTTAGATTTAAATTAACTGATGGATGAAGCATGACGTATGTATAATGGTAAGTTGTTCCAAAGTACTGGTGCAGCAATAGAGAATGCTCTATCACCATAAGATTTTGCATGTGATAAGGAAATGTGGAAATCTTGATCAGCTAAGCAAAGACGACATATTCCTTCATAGAGACAGAGGAGTTCAGATATGTATACAGGAGCCATGCCATTATAAAATGATAGATATAAAGATCCACAGAGTCACATGTGCCTACCAATTCTGAATATTTTTCAAAACTGAATGCAAACAAAAACGAAATTATTCAACTTCATACCCTATCAACAGGATGGCCAGGGTATCTGCCATGCAGGTACAGGAAGCCCAAGTTATATGCTGCATTCTTGTCATTCATAGCATCAGCCTTCTCAAAGTATTTGATGGCCGTTGGGATGTCATGCACAACGTTCAAGTAGTACCACCCTAGGGCAGTAATGGCGGGGGAGTGGCCTAGGTCTGCTGCTGCCTCCAACTGTTCCAATGCTTTCTCATAGTTTTTCTCCACACCTTGCCCCTGTCAAGGAAAGATACTTAATTACTACCAGGTGAGGCAGACATAGGTTATAGGCATGTGACTTACATTATACCCAATAGCAGGATGAAGAATCAGGATGTTAGATTTTGAAGAGACATAAGAGAGATGACAATTCTTACAGCAGACACAAGCATTCAAGTACAATGAAGATACAATAAAGAAAAATTCTAATGGATAAAAAATATATACTTTTCAAGAATTCTATGTATAAAGAACTGTCTATAAAAGAAACAATTTAACTGACTGAGGGAAATGCTGTCTCTTATACACATCTAGATGTGTATAAGAGACAGCAGTGTACGTTATTTAATACATTTAAATCAAATTTAGATCGATCTTAATAATGTGACTTTTAATAGGCCTTCATGCTAGCAACTATTTACAGAACATATTTAATATTATGATGTAGCTGGGCATTTAATTTTGGTGATTAATTATAAAAACAAAATCAGTGAAAGATTAACATTGTTCTTAGTATATCAATTTAATTTCTTCAATTTCAAACAAATTCAAATTGATTTTCGTGTAATTTTTATATTTTAAATGAACGTTATGTACCAATTGTTGTCTTTTAATCGGATTAAAATCTGGCCGGGTTTTGGCCGATATCGAAAAAAAAATTTTGGCCGAATTTGACCGTGAGATGGCGTGTGCGTGTGTTATGTGCGTGCGTGTGTGTGTGTGTGTCGTATCTGGCAGCCCTGGTCGCGTTTCCAATCTCAGATGTGTATAAGAGACAGGGTACAGGAAGCCCAAGTTATATGCTGCATTCTTGTCATTCATAGCATCAGCCTTCTCAAAGTATTTGATGGCCGTTGGGATGTCATGCACAACGTTCAAGTAGTACCACCCTAAGGCAGTAATGGCGGGGGAGTGGCCTAGGTCTGCTGCTGCCTCCAACTGTTCCAATGCTTTCTCATAGTTTTTCTCCACACCTTGCCCCTGTCAAGGAAAGATACTTAATTACTTACCAGGTGAGGCAGACATAGGTTACAGGAATGTGACTTACATTATACCAAAGCGTATAAAACTGCAAGAGGTCCGACTGCCCTTATTTTGTATACAGACAATGGAACATTAAAAAGTACTCCCATGAAGGGGCGTGTCCTTCATAAGAACGTAAGAGGCGTCTGTATCGAACGTGTGCTGAGTTTCAAATTCCAGCATATATTCTATAAAACTGCAAGAGGTGTTCGATATGATACGCCCCTTTTGGGTAGTACTTTTTGAAATAGGATTGCGTTCCACACCTAGGTTATAGGCATGTGACTTACATTATACCCAATAGCAGGATGAAGGATCAGGATGTTAGATTTTCAACAGACATAAGAGAGATGACAATGCTTACAGCAGACACAAGCATTCAAGTACAATGAAGATACTATAAATAAAAATTCTAATGGCTAAAAAATATATACTTTTCAAGAATTCGATGTATAAAGAACTGCCTATAAAAGAAACAATTACTGCTTTTGATGGAGGAACTAAAATGACCTGACAACCTAAGCTGTCAACTCATAATTTAAACTTCTCACCCGTAACAGTATTATGCCGTAGTCAAACAGAGCTATTGGATTTTCAGGGTGCTCTGCTGCCCCCATCTCGTAATAGCGTACAGCTGCCTCCATGTTACGCTGCACACCTTGCGCTCCCCAGAAAAGCATCCTTGCAACATTCGACTGATGCAGCGTCCAAAGTAAAACATGATTAAATATTAAATTATTTAACTTAATTATTTAAATCAAATTAATTTATTCCACAATGAAAGCTAAAAACATGCAAGATTTACCTTCATCAATAGAATACCGTAATCAAACTGAGCAATAGGGTTCAACGGACTATTCTCAGCAAACAGCCGATAATACTCTACTGCAGCTGCTATGTCACGCTCTACACCATGTTGACCCCAGAACAGGATACGAGCAAGTTGACCCTGATGAAGGGAAAACAAGGGAGGAACATGCTGGAATAGGTGACATGCAAATTAAAATTGGTGGGGTTGGGGAAGGGTGGGTTACATACCAAGAAAAATGAATAAATTTCAAAGCCAACTTTCAAAAGGCAAAAAAACAAAACAAAACATTGAATTGCTTATATAAAAATGATAAAAAGGGTTGAATAAGTCATCAATTTTCTTTACAGCACATATCAAAACAATCACTTTCTTGCTTACATTTTTTGCTATGAAAAATCTTCAACAAATTTGCAGAATAGAAAAGAATAATAGGTACATTAATATCTTGCATACGTTGATTGAAAAGAAAAATACTACATTGAAAGCAAATAACATTTAAAAAAAATTAAGTATAAATAATATTCTTCGAAATCTTCAAAAAGGAGCAACATGCAAAATATAAGAAATCCCAATATTTTAGATTTACATATGATTTGACTTGTTAATTTCTTTCACATTTGCAATGCCATGCTTACCTTGTTACTTAAGCCAACTTGTTACCTTACCTGTGCATCAGCAATGCCATGCTTAGCCTGGTACTTAAGCCACAAGAAGTAATCACCCTTCTCCCCTGATTGAGTCTTCAACGCTGCTGTGTCTGTCAACCGCACATGCTCAGTAAATAACTGTTAAAATGTATTAAACATTTTCAGGTAAAGTTTAAAAATGCAAATTTATCATACAGGAAAGTATGATTGCTCTGAATTTGAAATCAATTAATTTTATATAAATGCATGGAACTACTAATATTTGGCTAAGATGTTAATCCTGATCTTTTATCAAGAGATTTAAGAGGCCGTTCTGATGACGTACAATGTAAACCATCATCACCTGCATCCTCAATGCAAGAGAAACATGTCTGAAATGAGGAGGCTGTGATCAACTTGCTTATTAATGTTTAATCGCAAATGGTTGTTGGAATAAGTCAGCACAATTTTGATGGTTAGTATATGTCCACATACTTACCGAACCTGGATCATGCTTTTCCCGATCTGCACTTGTTTCCTTGGCGACCAATTCATAGTAATCTGATCAAAAAGCCATACACACATTAATTTTATTTAAAATATTAATTGCCATATAAATCTGAGGACTCAATATGGCTGGTAAATTGATAACAATTATAGAATATAATAAAAAAATAAATAGTATTATGGTGAAATTTAAAAACTTTTTTCCAGTGCAATTGCACAACCATAACCTTCTTTATATTTGAAAATGGGTCATGAATTATGAACTTGGCAATAAATGTTGACATAAACTAGTATTTGACTAAATGACAACTTACAGAATGCATAATCATAATCCAGTGGCAATCCATGTTGACCATAGAAATGCTGGGAACCGAGAGCCATTGCTGACAGTCGACCTTTGCCCTGTGCACCAGCAAGTTCAAGAATCAACGACTGAAATTTGAAGATAAAAAACAAAGATAAATAAATATATTAAAGTAAACACATAAAAATGATTAGATTTTGCAAATCTTGATTACATTTTTTTTTAGGATAGTATAAATAAAAATAATAAGTATATAAAAAAATTGTGGGTTTTCTATATCTTGTAATTTTTATTGTTTTTATGTCTCCTACACTTAACAAATGTCAAAGAAGATAAAATAGGCCAATGCAAAAATATAAAAATACCTACCTTTGTTGTATCCATTCTTGCTCCAATTCCTTCTGAATACATAATGGCCACCATATGTGTTGCACGGTGGTATCCATAGCAACTAGACTGCTGTAGTGGCAATACCATTTGAGATATATCGCTTATGTGGTTTTTCTATAATGACAAATAAATTATGACAAGTCAAAAACATTTTCTTACACAGATAAGAATGTTGTCATTTCCAACATGGATGATTTGGCACAAAGGTTCGTGAATTCATAAATTGTTGACTTTAGTATTTAGTAGAAGATTCAGTAGTAAAAAAATCATAAAAAGAACATACCAATACTTTTGTAGCCTTCTCAAACAATAGTTTTCCAATCTCTTTACCATCATACATCTTATCATACACACATCTGCTCTGATCGGCTCCATAGTCACATGGTTTGTCAAAAACAAAACGCTTTAGGATACCACTAACCAGCGAGTATTTTGAACTAGGTTTGTAGGACCAGACTTTACAATATGGTTTGGATGGCTTCTCTTGGTAGGTCCTTACACTGTACACATACCTTCTTGTAGATTCTGCAATAAAAATGTAATAAAAAAAATTAATAATGGTTTTTTTTTCCCCCTGTTCCGTTTCTTTTGCTCTCCCTATGTGTGTTTTTATGTAGGGTCTATATTTCACATGCATGAGTAACTCTGGAAAGTTTCATGCATAAATTACCATGGCATTATGATGCCCAACAACAGATGGTGCCGCAGGCTAGGACCAGAATACCAGTACACAAAAACACCGCTTATACTGAAGTTACCAAGAGACTTGCAATCGTACATTGTATTATTATTCTATTAAGAGCCGATATGGCTTACACAAGATATTTCAATAACCACTATAAATTGTTTTTTATGTTTGATGTTATATTGTTCTATTGTTTTTTTTTATGAGGAAATTTAGTTGACTATTTGCCACAGACATCTTCAGTTATAAAGATGTTGAAATGGAACATTAAATTCCTATTGTGGAAAAAATATAACTATAAAATGAAATCCATATACTAGTTCATTTATTGGTTGCTTACTTAATTGATTAATGCATTCATTTATTTATTCATATTTTTTATTCATTCATTCATTCATTCATTTTTTAAATCATTATATCATTCATATACTGTATTTCTTTATTATTTGTATCGTCTTTCCTGCAACGATAAGATTCCTGCTTTTGCGTCACCTGGGCAATGCTTCCAAACGAATAAATAAATAAATTCATCTATTAATTCTTCATTCGTCTCCATATCTATTTGTATGCTTGCTTGTTTATTCATTCATGCATTCATTGAGCACGGTGTTACAAGTCACAGAAACAGTAATTAGTGATATCACAGATCCTATATACATATATAGGATCTGTAGTGATATACAATACAAATAGTGCTCACTGTGGTCAATGTAGTATTGCATCATTTGCTGATAGTCATCCACTACACCGTTCATCTTCTTCCTGAATCTCTGACATTTGTCATCATACAACTTGATACCTCTCATGAGCTCAACTTCTTCAACAAACTTGATCTACATTTCCAAATAAATAATGCAACATAAAGGTACTGTGACATACTTAAAATAGTGCATTCCTTTAAAATACAAAAAATATAAATATAAGCATAACACTGTGAGCGTTAGACGACTCAACGCCGTCTGCTCTTTGTCGGTGGCAGTCTGAATGGATTATCATTAAAAGCAATCCGTTGCGCGTGCCATTATGGTATTGCGTTCTCCATAGAATCGCTTCGACCAGCGACCGTCGGCCGCAGTGAGTTTCACTGACTGATAGAACAGTCTCCCTCTATCTCAATCAAAACCTCTATAAACACGTAAAGCTGAAACTGCTAAACAAACATTACTGAACGTTACCTTCTCTGCCTGTAGCGCCCTCAGCCGATAGAGTTTAGCATGTGCCGCATATCCTTTGAAAGACACACAGGTTTTGCTGCCTCCAATGTGAATCAGAGAATCTTGATCGTCATATATGATCCTCCTTGGAAAAGTTGCACCTGTTTGGGTCATCAGCTCAAAATTCTCACCATAGTTAAATGTCATTGTCCACTGAAATCAAGCAGATTATAACATTTGTAAATGTCCTATGATATATGGTCTCCAAGAATATACATGGCTACAGTACATGAGTGTTCATATGCATCGGGTTAAGTGAGTTTTAAAATGTATATTAACAACATTAATAAATTCAACCAATTTTTTTATATTTTTATATAAGAATGGTTTTAATAATTCATAATAATAATTTTAATAATTGGAGTTAGTAATTGTATATCCACAATAAATATAGAAAAATAATACAGTAAAATATCATGCAATGTACCAAGCTGAAACAACTCTGGACACCTAACTCAAAGAACAAATGGACGTAATACAAATAGACTTCCTAGAAGATGTGCTCCTCTAGGGAGTTAATAACAACAAACCTTTCGCCTGTTTTGGACATACACAATCCTAACCCACTGACCAATGGGTATCTTGGCCATGGTCAGCATGCTGTTTGCTTTGTTATTTTCCAGCACAACTTGGACATGAAGTTTACCTGAGAGACAGACAAATGGTTAGATATTATATAGATTGTCATACATTAAGCCAGGGGTATACTATATCGCAATAGGGGCCAAAATTGTTTATTGAATAAATTTGAAGGGCCAGGGCAAGAGGTGTACTATGGCAGATAGAGCCATCAGAGCACTGCATGTGCTAGCTGGCTGAGGGTTTAAGAGAGGATGTCCCCCTTCCTGAATTTGAATGCTTTTGAAAATAATAAGCCACTACTGGTACTGGTATGGGCATTATGATGCGCCTCTTTAAGGTTAGTTTGGGAGAGGATGTCCCCCTTCCTGAATTTGAATGCTTTTGAAAATAATAAGCCACTACTGGTACTGGTATGGGCATTATAATGCGCCTCTTTAATTTAAGGTTAGTAAATATTAAGGTTAGTAAATATTTATTTTTGGCTTGTTCGCATGGGCCGCATAACATGCATTCGCGGGCCGGACTAGCACATTTTAATTTTACAAAAACATGTAACATGCCTAAATATGGTCATGATGACCTTACATCATGACCATATATAGGCACATCATGACTATATGTGGGCATAACCATATGTAGGCACATCATGACTATATATGGGCATAACCATATGTAGGCACATCATGAATATATATGGGCATAACCATATGTAGGCACATCAGGACTATATATGGGCATAACCATATGTAGGCACATCAGGACTATATATGGGCATAACCATATGTAGGCACATCAGGACTATATATGGGCATAACCATATGTAGGCACATCATGACTATATATGGGCATACAGCAGCTTTTTGTCAACAATAATTTGATTTTGGTTAGAGCTTAACATGAGATATTCACAATGAATGAGACATTCACACAACTTTAATTTTGCTATTAAAATCATTTTCTCCATCATCATCACCATCATTGTCCTCATCATCATCAATGTCAGTCATTAACTTTATCATAATATTTATCACAGTAACCATCATCATTGTCTTCTTTATCACCTTCATCATTTCCATCTTTATAATCATCATCATCATCACCACCTTATCATCACCAATTTTCCTCATTATCAATACCATATTCACATTATCTTTATTCATCATTTTTATTATCATCAATATCATCATCTTCTTTATCATTCACCTTCTCTATCATCTTCATCAACACTGTCATCATCATCTTAGACTCCATCAGTATTTTCATCTTCATATTCATCATCATCATCATTATCATCATCATCATCATCATCAACATTGCTATTATTATTATTATTACCATATTTATCATCATCATCATCATCATCATCATCATTATGATTATCCTACCTTCTCTGTTAACAAATAATAAAGGTGTGGTATAAGCATTTGTGTAGTGTGTCTTCCTCTGTATAATACTACAAAGCTGTTGTTCACAGTGTTCTTGCATATAGACGTATACCACAAATGTAAACCTGTAATTTGAAAAAAAAAAAATTTAATACATGAATTACATTTTTTTTTATTATTGCCACTATTATTAAAGAAAATACAAGTAAATTTTAATATGTGGCCAGTTATTAATGACTCTAGATCTTGTGTTAAAGTTATTAATAGTCTTTTGGCTTTGTAAAAATAAGCCAAAATTTCTTGTGATTTGTATTTAGTTACCGTGAAATTTTTCATTTCATATGGTTAATATAATGGCTTTAAAATTTTTTTCTGGAACTTACTGTATAATTGTAATTATTTGATATTATAATCATTAATTTTAATGGTTCCATAAAGCATACACAAAACAACAAACAAAAGAGATTAACAGGTCTATTAATATCTTTATTATTATTACCAATAATAATCCAATCAACATCATTATCAGTACAAGTTTATATAATTAAAATTGTAAAATAAATGCCATGCACTCTACTGTACCTTGGACTTGTTTTTGAAAGGTGTACTTGATGGCGAAGAAGAGGATCAGAAAACGGAGGAACGTCCTTACTAATTCCAGCAAATGACCCGGTTAAAGCCACAGGAAATTTAACCAAATCTACAACTTCTAAAAACATAAGCAATCACAGATTAAAAATAATTTTCAGAAACTTCTAAATGTATTAAAAAGAGCCTAATTTATTAGAATGTTTATTATGTGGAAGGCACAGAAACATAAAAAGCCAGAGCACAGTGTTCTGCTGGTTTGATTGTTATTACTAGATATTGCCTTCTACAAAAGTGAACATGTGTGGCAACAGATGGCTCATTACAAACACTGAAATATTGATTTTCATAGCCATATATTTGACTGAACTGAGCTAAATTCTCTGTGGTTTGCATAGCCATATATTTGACTAAACTGAGCTAAATTCTCTGTGATTTGCATAGCCATATATTTGACTGAACTGAGCTAAATTCTCTCTGGCATTGTATACTATCTTCAGTCCTGCAATGTTTTGCACTAATTATTGCACTAAACATTATTTGTCGTGTGCTTCTTATCTTCTATTAAACATTGCTATATATAATCAGTTATGGTTAGTAATATTTTATATACAGTTACATGACAAACAGTTTCCTCTCTGAGTTTTTAAACATTTTTTAAAACCTGTCAAGTTAATGTGAAATTGGTAATTTCACATCGACAATACATTCAATTTCTATAATTTCATTTTGCAAATATTAAATCTAAACAAAATTGATTTACAAGAAAAACATGAAATAAGTTTTAACTTACCTGGCTCAATTTTACATTGTTCTAAAAAATGACTATCTTTTAAGTGTGATATCAACATTCGTGATAACCATGTCAAACAAACAGATGAAATTTGGTGCACACTCCGCCTCGGTCTTGAATATGGGGACAGGATCTCTAAAGGATACACAACGCTTACTTTTGAATGCACAAAATAATTCTTTCTAACGATTAAACCCAGTGTCTCTGTATTTAACAACCAGCCACGTAATTCCAATTTATAAATATTATGAGATTGTTTTAGTAGATAATCTCTCCGATAAAGAACACTGTCTGCTGGGGATAGACTTATTAGTTTCCTTCGGGCTCCACCAAATTTATGTTTACAAAAAAAGTGCTTGTGATATATAATGGCGTCAGTTTGAAAGTCTGAAGTGGCGACAAGTTCGATGCCGATTGTGGCATCCTCTGAACACCTGTATTCAACCTCTATCCAGGTGTCAGCCAGTATTTTTGGTGGTCTCAACACTTTTACATAATTCTTGTTTAAACGATCTGTATCCACAAGTACAGTGACTGTATCCTCATAACTGTTTTCTAAAGTGGCATTGTTTCCCTGAAAATAATAAAATACAGTGTCAGTAATTTTATTATTTTGTTACCAATCTTAGAAATCATGGGTTAGTGTCTGTAAAATTATGTCCACAGATCAATAGGTTGAATAAATAAATACTTTTTTTGTAAGTAGTCAACTGTGCCTCTGAACGAATAGAATGCTACAGCAGATGGTTAATAAATGAGCAAGCAAGTACCGCTTCCCTAAACAAACATGACACGTTGTCTGGCAGTCGATGTGCTTCGAGGGTACCTACCAGCCAGCCACCACAACTATGAATATGGACGCCAGAGCTAGGCTAGGCTAAGCTGAGGGGGAAAACAAAAGCACGACAATCATACTTTGAATGTTGCAGTTTTCTAGGCTCGATGCCCCATTATGGATTTAAGGTGTGTGCATATACTTACCAGTATAAATACGAATGTGGCCAAAATAATCAAAAAAATCATCTCAAATTCTCAATCAATCAAACAGCGGCACACGTACATCAACACTTTATTTACATCAGATTTGATTTTCACAGCTGAATGAGCACCGACAGAGGGGGTACTATCAATTCGATCCCAACAACTCTCGGATTAGTTTATTCTGTTGAGGGTTAAAAGCGAATTTGATCAGTAAGGCCTCTTAAACTCCATATTTCTAGTCTGAATGGAAATGTAAATCAAATCAACTAGGCCTATTAATGAACATTAATCATTCAAAATGTATATACAATTAAATTTATAAAAAGCAACTTCCTTATTACATTTTAGAAAATTTAATTCACGATAGGCTATAGGACTTTAAAAATCTGTGACGTCACAGCTCTTATTTTTTATCTCACTATTGGGTTCCAACGCTAAAATCCAGCCCTTGAAATTGCTCAGTGTCTAGTGATAGGAGGAAAGATAATACACTTTTCTTTTTAACAAGAATACATTGATAAAAAAAACACTGAGGCTGAGTTTCCTAAAAATAAGAACAAAATAAGAACAACTTGAGGCTAGGTAAAAAAATGTCAAATGAGTTTTTATTTAAAAGACTAAAAACCAATAAATTAAGCTGCACGTCTCATCCACATAGCAGCAGTAGGTGTGACATGTAACCCTCTTTAATACATTTCAACTGCTGTACAATACTCATTTTGTATATCTGAAAGGTGGGTAAAGAACAAAATAAGAATATTTTGAGCCTAAAATTGGCCATAAAATAAGAGCTAGTCTGGGCAAAATTTTACTGGAATTCTGGGGAAAATGTGAATTCAACCTACAAACGGTAGGTCAATTCTGTAGGATGGATTATTAATATTATTAAGCATAAAAATTAGGCTTCCTATTTGACAGACTTCAGAATTTTAATTTGATATGCCTTAGTAGTAGGCCTATTATGATTGCTTTATATAGCAAATCAAGAGTATACATTAAAATGTTGATAAACAACACTTATGACTCGCAATGTAATGTATTTCCCATGCATAAAGTGCGCTACCGGTAATAATTCCTGTAGAATCAATTTTTTGCCAATCTGACGAGTCTGATATTCCTATTAAGTAGAAAGTAGGTCAGGTCTACTCGTGTGGATGACGCAATTAATCTCAAATTATGAACGACTCATGTAATCAGGCCTCTAATATATTACAGTAATTAAGATGGGAATGCCACAGAGGGTTGTAATTGATCGTTGTGAGGCAGAACGAGAACTTGTGCAACTTGCCGATACCATGACGATACTAGTTTATTTTTGTACTGAGAATCTAAACCTATTGTAAAGATGTCGCAAATAAACCTAAATTACTAATTAGTTACCCTTGTAATATAATAAGACCTAAGTCTAACAAGATTAAAACCCACAAATTCAAGTAGTAATAAAGATGTTGACGTTTCGTTATAAATACGCCGTGTACGAGTTGGAGTCTAGAAGTGTTGAAGTTGTTTCAGCAACGGTGTTAGATCGAACCACAGAAACTCAAAATTAGATTATTGAATACCTACCGTATTATTTAAAATACATGCGTGCAATGATATTTCTGCATAATACAAATACATCTTTGACTAACTTGTTACATAGTGTGCTGAGATTGTGATCAAGTAGGTTGTCTTGAAAGTCGCTTTCGCTCGTATATTTTAATTTTTAAAATCAGGTACCGTACTTTAATCAGAGAATGGTAAGTAAATACTTCGTTATCATTAAAAATAAATAGGCCTAAAATATTTTACCGATCATTATTGGGGAAGGGGTTTTGCATCCAAATTAAATTTTATTCTGTATTACACGCCGGATTTATAAGCACACCACCTCGAAGGCCATTGTAAACACAGAAACATTAACACAAATACTGTATAATGTGCTATCGACTAGGCCCTATTTGTATTTTTTAAAATAATATTAATACAGTAATAATTATTTTTTCAGGGATATCTCTGGATTGCGTTGGCATCATTTTCACTGCTGATGGCGAAGGCTAATTGTAAGAATCCATGTAGTTTAAGAAGAAAACCTTTAAAACAACTTTTTGTCATTGTATGTGACAGTATTTTTATTGTCAGTGTCATTGAAATTGTTCTGCCACTCCTGGTGGTGTTAGTATTATAACATTTGCCATGCAGGGACGTATACAGAGGGGAAGCCGTGGGAGCCGCCGCTCCCCCCCCCCTTTATACACACAAAATTTTAAAGCTTTTTCTTGCTAGCCAATACAAATTTCCAAGGATCACTCAAAATAAATACTTCTAATCTATGTAAATATGCATCATGCATGTTATAGGCCTACATATGCCTACTATAATAACACATAGGCCCAAGCGTGATTTAAAAAAATCTTAAGTCCGTTTAAGTCCCAGTCCAGGGATCACAGACATGTGATATTGTATGATTCAGTTTTGGTTTTTATCGTTTTGGAAGCTCTATAAAGTTTTGATTTAATTATTTAATAATATTAATATACTGTAATAGCAACAATAACTATAATATACATATATTACAATAATAATAATAATAATAATAATAATAATAATAATAATAATAATAATAATAATAATTATTATTATTATTATTATTATATTAATAATAAAAAGGGTGGTAATAGATGTAATTTTATGCAAAAAATGATATATGTGCTTAACAAATATTCGGCATATACAATAATAACATAATATAAATATATATTATATAGTAAAAATATCAAAGGTTCATGTTGTTAACAACGATGATGATGATGATTATGATGATGATGATGTTTACGATTACGATGACTTGTTGAATTCTTTTTTGTTTTAAAAATCTGTATCTCACTAACCGCTTTCGAGTTTTTCGTCAAATATGCTTTTTTGTGTCTTAGAAAAATTAGTTTTAAAACATTATATAAAAACAAAGAAATTTCCTCCTAAGGAGCCTGGCATTAGTCTGAGAGTGATTTCCAGCCATCTAGTTCCTGACAAAAACACCCCTAAGTTACAGGGACGTACCGTATACAGCGGGGTGGGGGGCGTGGGTGCCGCGGCTTCCCCCTTTGTATACAGTGTTAAAATTTTAAAGCTTTTTTCTTGCTAGCCAATACAAATTCTTTCAAAGGATCACTCAAAATAAATACTTCTAATCTATGTAAATATGCATCAGCAAATGTTATACATATGCCCAAACGTGATTTAAAAAAATCTTAAATCCGTTTAAGTCCCAGGCCAGGTCTTTCAGATACAGAAATGTGATATTGTATGGTTCAGTTTTGGTTTTTATCGTTTAGGAAGCTCTATAAAGTTTTGATTTAATACATACAACACTACTAGTTAATAATAATAATAATAATAATAATTATGATGATGACAATGGTGATGATGACGATGGTGATAATAGATAACAATATTTAGTAATATTAAAAAGTGAAGAAAATTGTACTAAAGGCGAAAAAGTTAGTTGTGATTGGTTGATCACAATTTTTATAGTATAAAGCTTAGTAAGCTATAGTTAGGCCTAAGTTGTTTGGACATTAAGTAGATCCCTGATAAACGATTATGAAAAATTTGTTTGCGCTTGATTTTGACTATATAATGGTGATGTAATGACGATGAATTTTACTATATAAAATTGTAATTTTTGGCCATCTAGAGGTACTATTTCCTCAAATTCCCAACCATAATGGGGCTGAGGTGATTGTGAAATCACGGCTTTGAAGTATATAAAGTGCATACTCAAAAACAATGTTTATAAGCTTTATTTTCTATCACATCACACATAATAAAGATCTCTATGGTTGCCGAAAATCCCTGATAAATGATCATGAGAAATTTGTTGGCGCTTCATTCTGAGTATTGTTATCAATACCGTAGCCAGCTATTGGGACAGTTGGACAGTCCCACAAATTTTTCTATTTAACAAAGAATGGGTGTACATTTTCAAAAAAAAGGTCTAAATTATGCTGTTTTAGCACAAAATGAGTCCTGATTTTGAAAAATGGGTCCAGAATCCTTATATTTTGTGTAGAATGGGTCAACTTTAAAGAAAATGGGTACCGTACATATTTTTCATATTTTTGCGTAAAATGGGTCCACGGGTCCAATATTATTTGAATTTACGCGTTAAGTGGGTCCACACTGATACTTTCCCGCAATGTTTGAAAATCCTGGCTACAGCATTGCATGTAACGGTGTAGCCTGGGTTCCAGGCCCTAATTCTAGGTTACTCACTCTTTATTGCACTTAGTGCGCGCCATACCTAATTTAATTGGCGTCCCATACTCGATTTCTTTTTTTTCGAATTAGGGCCTGGGCAAACAATTCATGCGTACGATTTCCCACATCAAATTTGATGTGGGATATCGTATGCATGACTGATTTTGTAAATCACGTGATTGGCTAACTTCATGCATATTAATCAATCTTGGTAAATTTTCAAAATTGAAGATGCGGATGTCTCCAATTAACAATGTTATGTGCACTTCGTTGAGTTTTGCTTACTTGAAAGGACTGACATGTACTTTGTTACTTCTTAATTCTTCCTCTATGACAAAAATATTTATTTTTCTTAGTAAAAATAAAATACCCAAGGATTTGAACAGAATACCCAAGAACCCAAGACCAAGTCAAAATACCCAAGATCTTGGGTAAATACCCAAGCAGTGGTCACACTGCAATTAATTACTAAATTATAAATATTCGTATAAATTTCAATTTATTTTGGTTATATTAATATATTAAATTATGCTATAATGCTATTCGCAAATTGAAACAGAGGTAGCAAAAAGCTGAGCTTGCAATTTTCATTACAGCTTCTCTAATTGGGTAACCGAGCCATCTGTCAGCGGGCGCGTGTGTGCATATCTCGACCAATCAAATGGATTCGCGTGGAGCACTGACGCCTGTGAAAATGTACTAACAGCAAAGCCGTTTATCTGCGAATATGAACTTGGTAAAGTATATTATGCCATGTCCATTCATCCAAATATTTACGAAACAATTTTATTTGATTTTTATAGTATTCAGTCTAGGGCCTACCTTAATGACATACAAAGAAACTTGAGGTTTTGACAATTCCTAGTAGGCCTATAACATTACTTGTTCTACTATTATTATTAATATTATTATATCCATATCGTTGTTGTATTGCTAAATTATTATCATCATCAACAACATTATCATTATTACTATTGTTGGTGCTATATAAGTATTACTATAATTTCATTATAAGGAAATCATGCAATGTTTTGACAACTTAGAAATAATTAATTTAACGATGTTGAGTTTAACTCAAAATGTAAGAGGGCAGGGAGGGTTTGGGTAGGTGTTGGAACTGGCAACGTGAGCTGTTTGTACCTGGAAGCACCGTTTGAAAACTTTGAAGAATGGATGGTGGTAAGATCAGTTTTATTACTTTTCACTCATACGGCCATTCTCCTATATTAACGGTAGACTAGTGAAGGCAAAACGATTTTCATAATAATTATCTTGAAATAATTTAACTTGGGGCCAAATGTATTTACTACGCCCGGCCATGTATCAAAAAAGAATTTAAGATCTTATTGTACCAATAGGCCTATTTGGATCAAGTGCAGTTTTAGACTAAAATCTATCATTTGAACTATTCTATTTACATAATAGGGGTGTTCTGAAAGTGCGTCGCACGCACTGGACACCCCAGCTAGTAATTGAAGATATATATTACTTGAACTTAGTGTATATGTATTGTGCATAATTACTATTTGGAGTTTCTAGACCCAGAGTAGTATTACTGAAAAACACCCCTGTACTTAACATGAAATATCCCACGCCTGTACTTAACCAACCCAGAGCCTCAACTTAGCCCATCCCCTGCTGCTGCCCATCGATCGGCTCTCTTCAGTTGTAGTTGTTGGTCGGCGGGCTCATGGTAGGTGTAATTGTGTGAGCATTGAGTGCATCGGCCTAGCTCGTACTTCATATAATTATTACCATATATCAACTCCCTGATTATACTATATCATTATTGTTAACGTTTCAATTCTTTAATTTTGTCAAAAATGTCTCAGACAAACACTGGCATCGGCCATTTAATCGGAGCTGTTGACCAAGGTACAAGTAGCACACGCTTTTTGGTGAGTGAAACTTAGCGTAAACCTACTAGGCATACTACTAGCCTTCGGCCTAGGCTAGCTAGTGGTGTAGGGGTAGCGTAGAGAGCATTCTGTCATTGACATGTCATTGACAATTATCAGTTGTTTATTTGCTTTCCGATTTACCTTGAAGTTGGAGGCCTGTCTTGGCCTATCGATTAATCAGGCGGCAATCCATGCACGCTCACAAATTCTGGTGGCTCACTGACACTATCGTACACAGCAGTAGTTCTAGTAGTGTCTTGAAATTCCATGGGAGTATCTGAATGGGGATATCTTAATGGAGGAGGGGGGGGGGGGGGGGGGGATTGGTGTGAGGCTCTTTGATTTACTGAGGGTGGGAGCCACACCTCACAAAATAAAGGTGGTATTTAGGTGATTTTAACAACTTTTTGAACAAAAAAAAAATTTGTTTTTAGGATTAGCAAATTAATGTTTATAGTATTTATAGTAGTAGTGTTTATAGTGTTTTTGTGTGGTTCATCGTAACCCTTTAACCCCTACGCTACGGGCCTGTTGTACCATGCCAATGTGCAAATTTCACCCGGAACCCCTGTTACTACTGGCGCCATCACTGCACTAAATATACTTGTGAAATTAGACAATTCAAAAATATAGAAATGCAAATTGAGGTAACTAATAAGTTTGCTCCTTTTTCATTTTTAAATTTAAAAAAAAATCACTGAATTCTTCATATTCGATGTACCTGTATGCTGTGGTTGAATGTTTAACCTTGGCTGCCATCAAGTATTACGTAAGAAAAATAAGTAAAAAAATATATTGATTGATCATATTCCATTACAAAATGTGTCTGTCAAAAAATTTTGATCTGAAAATAATAATTATATAACAGGAAAAAAGCCTCTCTTCCATTTTTTAGAATGCAAATTATTTTTCAATTCTCATACCAGGGTTCTAAATTTGTTGAAAAGATTGTTTTCTTCTGTCACCTATGTAAGCCTTCATCATGCTCAGTATAGTGCAGTTTATAGTAGTTGACAGCATTGATATATTCTTTGCTGGTCCTGTGGTGGGGTTAGTTTGCAATTAAGATTGAGTTTTTTGAATTATTGCTCCCAACAGACAGGATGCATTGGACCATGGCAATACCAGTGCCTCCATAAATAAACTAAGCTAACAGCTGCCTGTAAAAAAGTACTTGAATGATTAAAAGCAGTATCCCAATCTGAATAGTGTTTTTGCCCTTCCTTTTTGTACAGTAATCCTGTGTATTGACTGGCAAACACTCTCACCCCCAATGCAGTCTATTTGAAAGGTTGTTTGAGGTCAAAGTTAAGATGACTGGTACTGAATACCTACTTGAGGTTCTACCAGATGTCTATGTCAATATACAAGGCACATAAAATTCACAAGTCATAAGAATATTTTATAACCTGGTATATTTGCTGTACAAAGTATACCACTAATAAAACACTATTGTTGATGTAGTACATTTTGAAAATAGAGAAATCTCAATTAGTCTATTTCATGAATACTTACCTGGATGAGCAAACTGGTGGTAGTGGCTTCCTCCATGTCTCATAGACTACCACCATCACTGCTGATATGTGTTTTTTTTTTAATAACTCTGTAAAACCTAACTATCAGATTAGCATGATTCGAATGTTGATAAGTTTTCATTTAGTTTTTTTTATATTGATTTATTCATTTAATTTTTGTTGTTTCATTTTCTTGATGTATATATTGTAAATATTTATATTCTGAAATTTCTTTTTTCTTCTGTAGGTTTTCTCTAGTAAAACTTCAGAGTTGATTTGTTTCCACCAGACAGAGCTGTCTCAGACATTTCCTAAGGAAGGGTAAGATCAGAACAGAGAGGTCTGTTAGGCCTAGGCTATTGATAGCAACCATTTCAATGAATACTAATTTACCTGTATTTTGGATATGTGGGTTTGTTTGGATAGCCATTGAGCTATCAACTGTTCCCTGGTTTGATACAGTAGAAACAGATAACAGCAGTATTGAAAATAGAGGTTTTTGTTATTTTATCTACAGTATTGAGTGGACTGTCATTCCAATATCTATGGTGCCACTAGTTTTTTTTTTTTATATTTCTTTGCATTGTATTGGAATAGCTCTTATATAGTTCCTTCAATCTAGAATCCTTTTTAGTAAAATTTAACAGGCAAATAAAGAGTGAGAAATTGATATTTTCTCATATTTATTTATTTGTAAAAAATGTTTTATCTTCTGTATTTTGTTCACCTAGTACTTAATATTTTAGAATGAAAAGTTTAGTAGTAAAAACCAACTCATTCTAGAGGATGAAATTTGGTAATGCAATTAGACTGACTTTGACCTCCCGGCTCTGACCTCATGATGCTAATGCTCTGGCCATGTTTTTTTATTTATTAAAGGTATTAAATGATTTAAAGTACTTTGTACAAGGTCATCATTTTAATGTACCAGATGTCCTTCTCCTACTTTGTAATAAATCATGAGGAAACTTGTACTTTTTCATTAAATCCCAAATTTAGTGACTTAAACCAGTCACTATAACAACTCCCTGCTTAAACCATGTTCTCACTATCACTCCTATCTGATGCAAGTTAATGAGAAATCCAGCCGTCGCATCAAATTTTATCGCATGTCTACACAAGAGTTATAGCGGATAGTTATAGCGCTTATACACTGATATAAAAAGTTTAAGATGTTTAAGTTATTTCTATTGATTTCACGAGGATGTTTCAATAAAATGAAGACAACAAAACAAAAATTACATTAGGCGAGGGCCTGCCTGGGCTAGGCCTGCTTTGAATTGGGTAGGCAGTAGGCCATCCCAACTGTCGACAAATATAAGGCAAAATATGTTTAACATCCAATTTTTTTGCATCTTCACTTGGTAGAGCATTCCGAAAAAGCGAAATAAAACTCTCTGAGTTATTTTTCTCACCTACCCTAAGCCTACCTATTAACATTTAGGGGATTTTCGGCAGCATTTATAACATGAGCCTTTAAATGTAGTATGCGAGTACGAACGTTGTTCATGGTTCTTCTTCAGAATGTGTAAATTGCAGTGGCTAAAGATAAGGCTAACGTATTAGCTGTAATTTCAAAATCATGTACGTACAGTATCTCACCGGTGTTCACCGTATCTCGTTCAGCCGTTTTTATAATGTATATGAAGTTTACAACGAACAGTAATAATATAAATGTGTCCTGTAATGTATTATTTGGATTACTTTTGACAATTATGAAATTAAAAACAATTCAAAAAGGTAATTTTAAAGATGCTTTGGTTAATATTATGAACAAACTAGACCTAGTAGAATTGCCTCGAAAACGAGACCATGGTCAAGCTACAGATGTTATTGCAATCAACATGTGGCAAGTCAATCAAGAAAAAGTTCTTATGGAAGAGAGCCTTGCCAATCAGGTCATTTGTCGGTGTCAACTTGCGGGGTGAAGCGCTTGCTTTCTATCAGGTGACCCCGTTCATATGATCGGTGTCAGCCTCATAACAAGCCCTTTTTCGATAACTACGATATCACCGGTGTGACTTACACCGTTGGAACAAGGCTTTAGGATTTGATCATGTGATCATTTCTCTCCATAAAATCAACTAATTATATGCTATACTTTCAGGAATCAATGTTTATCAGAAAAAAGCAACTTTTTAAAGCTAATTCCTAATTCTTGTTGTAATACATACTGAATTTGTATGTTTGTAATAAAGAGAATAACAAAAAAATGTTAGTGTATCATTATTGGATTAACTTACAGTACAGTAGGACAGTAAATCAGAATTTGGAATTTGTGTTAAAGATAGCCACTGCCATGTGAAAAATAAATTCATTAGGAATTGTGATATACTGTATACAGCTACAGTAGATATTGGTATGATAAACATCAAGATGTATATAGACCTTAGGAAGGTCATTGGTCCTTATTGACATTCCTCTCTCATGGCCTGCAAAGAAAGCATGACCTGGAAATTCCACAAGGTCGCACTATAGTATTAATGACAAAAATTAAACTGTACTGAAATTTTTTTATAAAACAATATTAAATATTGAATTGATGCTATCTTATTGGTCAAATACATACATAACCACTTTCTCTACCCCTTCATCCTTTTAGACTGCCACAAGCTAAAAAATAACCCAGAAAATCCTGCTGAAATAAAAATATTCTGCAATTATTAAATGCATAGATTACAATACAGTCCACTCTAATTTATTGATTAAATTTGTGATTCATTATTTGGATGTCACACTATACATAATGTCAGCTATACTAATTTGAATATATAAATATTCATAACAGGTGGGTTGAAGAAGATCCTCTTGAGATATTGGAATCTGTGTACTCATGCATTGAAGAGACTACAAAGAAGTTAGCGGCTAAGAACATTGATGCAAGCGCAATTAAAGCTATCGGAATAACTAATCAACGTGAAACCACAGTAGTATGGGACAAGACAACAGGGAAGCCACTTCATCCTGCAATAGGTAAGGAGAGTTTTGATAAATTACAGCAATTTTTGTTTTCATACAAAACCAATGATACATGTTTATAGAGGGCGCCACATCCTGATCTGGATCTGAAAGCCCTGTCCAGACTATCAAATTTTTTTTTTTTGACAAATAACTATTAGTGTTATACTGTCATGCCCATATATAGTCATGATGTGCCTATATATGGTAATGATATGATGTCATTATAACCATATTTATGTTTAGTTTAGTTTTACAATCACATCCAACAGCGGGAAACCCACCACTTACAGAATGGATCAAAAAACTGCTCTAAAATATAAATGAGAATATAAACTTTAAACAATCTTAACAATTTTACTACTAAAACATTTATAACTATCAAAAAAAAGGTCAATCAAATTATCTTTTTCAACACAATGATTAAACAAACGACTAATACGAGAAACAAAACCATTTTTGGTGACATTGACTCTACTATAGGGGATATATAACAGATTACATTTAGAATGATGTGTACGGTAACCAACAGCTTTGATATGAAAAGAGAACAGAGACATTAAATCACTATCAAAACGGGAATTCATTCATTTGTACAGAAACTGTTAATCCGTCATAAAATATATATATTATAATGTCAACTGAATATATACACGCTTAGAAGTATCCATAGGGGGAAACGAAAACAATGAAGTGGGTTAAAAACAGTACCTTAAGGCGAAACTAGTGTTGCTAAGGGGAAACTAAAATTAAGGCAAAATCATAGACAAAAGAGTTTCCCCCTAAGAGCCGAATAAAGGTAGTATATATATATATATATATATATAGCTTGATAAAGACTTATAGTCGAAAGTACTCGCTAA